ATTCCCAGGATCCCAAACCCCTGCAGGAGCAGGGCTGGCTCACACACAGAGCAGCTTTACAAGCAGCAGGAGCACAGGAGTGTAGATTGACACGCCTCAGGACCACCAAGACGCAGCTGCTTCAGCTTCCAATAAATACCTGCGGCCTCCGAGTGGGGAAAATTTCCCCCGTTCCGAGACAATAAATAAAAAAATATTGCATTTTCTATCGGCCTGTTTGGGAGTCAAGTTTGGAATGTTGCTTTCAGTGCTACGAAGGAGAAGGATGGCCCAGGTCAAGCAGTCAGTGCTTCCAGCTCTTTGGGTTTCAGCAGCTTCTTGGCAGCAATGATGGTGTTTTTCATCAGCATGGCCACGGTCATGGGCCCGACCCCGCCCGGCACTGGGGTGATGTAACTGGCCTTCTTCCTCACCCCTGGGGAGGGAAGGCAGCAAAATCAACAGCAGCAACAATCCCCAGTCTAAAAGAAACCCCCCCAGATTCCTTCAGGATCAGCGTTCAGGAGTTTCCCCACGGGGCCTTTTCCCCCCCCTTATCCAACCCCGCTCCCTCCGTCCCTGCTGCTCTAACCCAGCCCAGCTGCTGGGGAACAGCTCAAAGCAAGGACTAAAGGATCTGAAGTCGGGTCTAAAAGCTGGTTTCTAGCACAGAAATGTCAAATCCAAGTCTAGCTGTGGCCTCGATGTTGGTACTTCATCAGTCTGGGCATTCACCCTCTTTTTTTCTTCCAGGAAGAAATTCCAGGGTCTTCCCCCGGGCTCATCCCAACAGCTCCTGGAGGAGCAAGGCCAGGGAATACAGGGCAGGAGGTAAGTTCTGCGTGGCTTTATTTTAAAAGAAGCTTTGGAATAGAGGCAAAGTGACCCAAAAGGGTGAGTTCTCCTCTGCAGCTTTCCCCTGGCACGTCCTGGGATAACATGGAACAATACTGGATGAGCCAGGCACGTGAACCAGGAGTTTTCCCCCACTTCTCAGCACCCAAAAGCTCCAGAATCCACACCCAGAGCCTTTCCATACCTTCAAAATCCACGTCCCCAACCAGCCTGGACTTGGCAGTGACAGGATCCTGCACTCTGGTGATTCCCACATCAATCACTGCAGCTCCTTCTTTGATCATGTCAGCTGTGATCAGGTTGGGAATGCCTGGAAAAAACACACAACCACCCACTCAAGGGTGTTAAAAAGCCCCCCTGCTCCTCCTCACCCACATTTCCAGCGTGTTCTGACCCACCTGGACCTTCCTGCCCCCCCAGACCAGCTGGACTCAATAATCCTCAGGGTCTTACCCCATGAAATGCTGGAGGAGACTGAGGTCAGACCTCACTGGGGTCTTCAACATCCCCCCGAGGGGCAGCTCCAATCTCTGCTCTCTGTGAGCAGGGAAAGGACCCTGGAACAGCTGGGGCTGTGTCAGGGCAGGCTCAGGTTGGATCTCAGGGAAAGGTTCTTCCCCCAGAGGGTGGTTGGGCACTGAACAGGCTCCCCAGGGTTGGGTCACAGCCCCCCAAACCTGCCAGAGCTCAGGGGTTGTTCAGACAACGCCCTCAGGGACGGGGTGGGGTTGTTGGGGTGTCTGTGCAGGGCCAGGAGCTGCACTTGATGATCCTGATGGGTCCCTTCCAACTCACAATATTCTCTGATTCCAAGTTGCCCTTTAGGGTCTGATCAGGTGCCATGGGCAGGCCAAGCCTCCCCCTGCCAGGTGTCATTTCCCATTTCAAAGGCAAAGGCACAAACAGCTCTGCTGGGAACACCCACCCTGCTGCTCCTGCACAGGATGAACCGGCCCCAGCAGCCCCTGGGAGCACCAGGCTCTCCCACGCTGCCAGAGAGGCTCCAGGACGTTCCATATGCCAAGGATTCCCACCCTCAGTGCCACCAGCCAGGCCCTACCTGCTGCTGCCACCACGATGTCCGCACGGATCGTGTGCTGCTTCAGCTGCTCCTTGGGGGTGTAGCGGTGGGAGATGGTGACTGTGGCATCACCTGGGAGAGTTGATTCCACTGAGATTTAGTTCCCAAACCCAGCCAGTCCTCTGCATCTTCCCCTTCCAAAACCACCCCCTGTGTTTAGCAGGAACATCAGGGTCTGCTGACGAACCCCAGGGGAGTGGAGTCAGAGAGGAGGATTTGGGATGGAAGGGGACAAGGATTTGCTGAAGGAGGCTCCAAAATGTCACAACGAGGCTCAGGGAAAACCTTGTTGGTCTCTACAACTCCCTGATAGGAGGCTGGAGCCAGCTGGAGGTTGGGCTCTTCTCCCAGGGAACAAGGGATGGGATGAGGGGAAACAGGAAGGGGAAGTTTAGGTTGGATATTGGGGAAATTCCTTCAAGGAAAGGGTTGTTAAAAACTGGAACAGGCTGCCCAGAAAAATGGTGGAGTCACCATCCCTAGAAGTGTTCAAAAAACACGTGGATGTGGCACTCGAGGACATGCTTTAGTGGTGAACACGGTGCTGGCTGATGGTTGGACTTGATGACCCTTAAGGTCTTTCCAACCTTAACAATTTTAAGACCATGTGCAGAATTAACTCCCCCAGCCTTGGTCAGATCCCTGAGGAAGCCCTGGGACGGCTCTGGGAGCCTGAGGAGGGCAGTGGGACAGGTCTCCTACCCCCGGGCCGCTCGTGTTTGCCGTCGGTGTGGAGCAGCATCGCGATGGGCATCCCAACGTTCTTCGACCTCCCGGCCACCACCACGTTCTTGCCCAGCGTTGGGATCCCTGCAGAGGGCAAGATCAGAGGATCATGGAGTATCTCGAGTTGGAAGGGACCCAGCAGCACCATGGATGCAACTCCTGGCCTGGCACAGACACCCCAAAATCCCACCCTGTCCCTGAGGGCATCACCAAACCCTCCTGGAGCTCTGGCTGTGACCAAACCCTGGGGAGCCTGTTCAGTGCCCAACCACCCTCTGGGGGAAGGACCTTTCCCTGAGATCCAACCTGAGCCTGCCCTGACACAGCTCCAGCCATTCCAGGGTCCTGCCCTGGCCCAACCCACGAGCCAGTTCCTCTCCACCCCGTAACATTGCCCAGCTGGGAATCCTAAAACAGACACACCAGCTGGAATTCTGCTGGACAGGAACCCCACCCTGCAGGAGCAGCAGCTCTTCCCAGCCCTCTGGATGATCTTACCAGTCCTCTTGATGATCTCCCAGACTCCCCAGGGGGTGGCAGGTAACATGGAGTCCTGGTCCAGGCACATGCGGCCCACGTTGATCACGTGGAAGCCGTCGACGTCCTTGTCGGGGCTGACGGCGTTGCAGACACTGCGCTCGTCGATGTGTCCTGGGGGGACAGACAGGGGGGCTCAGCCTGGAATCTGCTCTGGGCACCCAGGCACAGCCTGGGCTCCAGCTCTGAGCCCCAGCCCCAAGCCAGACTCAGCTCTGAGCCTGACTTAGTTCTGAGCCCCAGCCCTGAGCCCCAACCCTGGGCTCGAGCTGTGACCCCGAAGCACCAACCCCTTCAAAATCTGGAGGCTTTGAGGCTCCTCAGCACCTCCAGCTCAAAGCTCCCAGCAGAGAGGGACTGGCAACACTCTGGAATCACAGCCTGGCTGGTGCTGAGGGTATTTTTAGGCAGCCTCGAGGCCACAGCTGAGTTCAAGTTGATACTGGAAGCTGATACTCCCAGCACAGGAATAGATCCTGTGACCCCACCCCAGAAACCAAACTCCTGCAAGCAGATGGTGCTGAGGGGCTGCAGGGACATCTCTAAACTCCACCAGGGCAGGATCCCACCCCTCATGGCACAGGATTGTCCTTCCAGCACGTGGAAACCCTTAAAAACTTCCTGTAGGACGGAAAAGAGGTGGAAGTTCAGCTCCTCACCAGGCAGGGGGAGCTGCACCAACAGCCCGTCCACGTTGGCATCGTTGTTGAGTTTGCTGATCAAATCCAGCAGCTCCTCCTCAGTGATGGAAGCTGGTCTGAGGATGGTCTCACTGCTGATCCCTGGAAATCATCCCAAACACCCCATTAGTGAGCCCAGGCTGTGCACAAGGCAGCAACATTCCTGATCTTTGTGGATCTAAGCCCCTAAAATTTCACTGCTCTACCAAATCCCAGAAGGGCCCAGAAGGAAGGAGATGTCAGCCTAAACATCTCACTTCCAAAAATCTCCAATCAAAAATAGAATAAAAGAATAATTTAAAAAAAAAATCTCAATAGTGCAGAACCCAAGTTAAAATAAATAACACCATTTCTTGCCCCCAACCCTGAGCAGGACCTTGGATTGCAAGCTGAGTCAGAGCAGCGAGGCTGAACTCAGCGACTCCTGAGTTGAGGAAAGGAGGCCAAAAAAGCCCTTCCTGGGCTTTTTATGGCTCTGGCAAGGCTGAAAATCCCAAGCACAGAGCTTGATGTTGTCCTGAAGGATCCCAATGGCACATGCACAGCGTTTCCCAACCCCCTCCCAGGACAACAAGAACCCAAATTCCAGGTGAAGGTGGAAAGGGGGTGAAATGCATTCATCCCAAAAAGCTTCCCCCGGAGGATTCCAACCCCAAACCTCCCTTTTTTTTTGGGCAGGGAGCCCCCACCATACCCACGTCAGCCGCTGCCTTGGTCTTGTTGAGGACGTAGGAGTGGCTGGCAGGATTCTCCCCGACCAGCACCACGCTCAGGTGGGGCCTCTTGTTCCCCGCCGCCACCCACTGCTCCACCTCGTGCCGGGCTTCCTGCCGGATCTGCCGGGCCAGCTTCCTCCCCGAGATCACCACAGCCTCACCTCTGCAAGGGGGGAAGAGGCCACCACACCATCAGCACCCTCAGCACCAGCAACTCCCAGCTTTGGGGCAGGAAAACCGGGAGCCGACCGCAGGATCCGTTTCCCCTGAGCTCTGTACTTTGGTTTTGGGAGGTTTGTTGCTTTGTTTTTTTTTAATCAGCAGA